TGGTATAATAAGCCTAAAGTAAAGACGGAGCTTGGGATCACCTAGCCTAGAGCCAAGTGCATAAAATTAATCATGAAATTAAAAATATCGACTCAATCTTAAACTTAAATTGTTTCTGAATTAAGCTGCTGGTTTCTGTTATATCACCAACGTTTTTAATAAAAACAAATCTTTTTAATCAACGGAGACTCTAAATTTAGAAATTAACACATATTTTTCCAGTTTTGTTGTCTATACATTTCATTGTATACTTTCAGTACACAGACTAACAGCAATATTAGGTTATACTTTTGTTGCTAAGCGAAATGACATAAAAGCCATTGTTAGAATGTAGTGTTACCAAAACGCACTGGCTTTTTGTTATATATTAGAAGTTGTTAATCTAGAAATATACGACCTTATAACACCAAAATGGTATTTTTCATTTAATTAAATACTCAACGTTTCGCTTTACAGCTTCTTCAGCAACTTTCACTAAAACACAAACCAAAACTGACAGTACAAAGCTTCAAATTCAAATGAAGCTTTGTACTGTCAGTTTCGGTTTGTGTTTTAGTGGACGCTCCTGAAGAAGCTGTAAAGCGAAACGTTGAGTGTTTAAATATAAACAACATTTTGATGTTATAAGGTCGTTTATTTCTAGTATTAATATGTCTTCTATACATCAATATGCACTACAGAAATTAAATAATAAGTTGTAAATCTAACTGATTTTCACCATTAATTATTTTATGAAGTCGCCACTAATTCATTTCATGAATGATCTGACTTTTGATTGGCTCACAAAGGAACTTAGCAACGTTTGACTGCCTCGACTGCACTTTTATGCCTCTTTGTTGGTCAAGTTTGATTTCGCAAAATTTATTTATTTCAGTTAGCTATGAAATGAGAGTTTAGGGTATACTATGGGGTGGGGGTATTAGTATTTACCGGGCTATAAGCTAGTACAATATATAAAATACAAACTTTACAATACACCAAGTAAAACTTCTAAAATACACAAAGTGAACTCTCTGCAATACATAATGTAAAACTTCTAGAATGCATAAAATCTATCCAGTACATAAATTAATACATACCTTTACAATATAAATATATATATATATATATATTTACTATACAGAAAGACACTTCTCTACAATACATCGGGTAAATCGTAACTAATTTAGAAAAAGAAAAACGGACCATGAACTTTAGCGAAAAGTCCCAAACGTCTTTACTGGAAATCGTTCAGAAATATTAAAATGAAAAACATGTTGACAATCATTACGAGAGATATTACAGTTTCATACACAGGTAATAACTGCTATACTCAATTATTACCTGAAAAACAACTTTTTCAAACTCACCTTGTCTTTTAACATTGGCCAAATTTCTATGAAAGACGTTGTCGAAGTCAATCAGAGTAGCCCCTTGAGCGATGCCGATGAAAACAAATATGAATACGTTAGTATAAATGGTTTTCTGTAGTGTCTTCATGGCTAGTAACAGTTGAGTAGTGACGCCTTGGGAACCGTCGATTCTCGCTAATGCTTTCTGTTTCTCTTAAAATTGTCTGTCGTTTGCCTTAGCTGGACAAGTCTGCAACAGACTAAAGCGCCAAAATGAGTCTGTTCTGCGCCTGCGTTGTGCCAAACCCGATGTTTCAGGATGCTAGTGTCAGAGGACTGCAACAGATAATCGACCTATTTATTCAATTTCTCTCCCACGCATATCTTTAAGGTGTTTTTTCGAACAGTTTGATTGGCTGGTGCCGATAATTTAGTGAGGTGTTGGCAGATAACTGACCAATCACAGATCAGTGAGAGAGAGGGGCTGTACAGACAAAAACTACGGATATTTGTGAGATTCCTTTTCTAAAGAACTGAGGTCAATGTGGCTTAAACTAAAGGTAAGGAATCGAGGATAGGCAAAAGAGGAAATATTTATAAGCGATTTTAGTGCCCCTGTAAATATAATTTCTCCTATGTTAGCATAAGTTGGAAATCAATTTTAAACAAAAAAATAAACATACCTAAACAATATAAGAAGACAAGCAAACAGTATCAACTATACAGTTAAGCATCTTAAGGTTAATTCTGATTGCATACATCATTAGTACTTTCTCTATAAGCGTTATGAAAAATGACTAAAGCTATTTTTGTCTTTTCTCAATCAAATTGGGGCTCCGTGGTTTGCGACCCTTAGTTTGGGGCTTGGGTGCGTTACAAGATGACGGCCAAGTCCCGCTATTTCGTCTGATAAGAGTAGCCCATGAGTTGGCGATGGGTGGTAGTAACTCAGAGGTGGATAGATAGATAGATCTGGGTGTTCAAGCTGACGATATTCAACAAAATAGAATAACAAAAAGAAATTCGAAATAACTATAAAAAGTAGCAGATTTCTAGAACCTGATCGCTAATTTTCATAATTTGGTGACTTTTTTTGCCTTGTTGTTTAAAAGTATATATATGTCTATATATATATATATATATATAGTTGTTTTAGTTTTAATGAACTACGTTTATATATATATTTATATAATAGGTTGTGAACGTCTTCTCACTAGTAAATTGATATATCTATTCAGAATAATAACAAACAGTAATCGATAATTCTCAAAGTGATGGTGATGAATTAACCATGACGACGAAATAATGCATAATCTTTCTATTGGATTGTACATCGAAATGTGAAATCCTCTGACATTGTTAAATTTTATATTCTTTCTGAGAGATAATTCTCAAAGAGATACAGTGATGGTGATGAATTAACCATGACGACGAAATAATGCATAATCTTTCTTTTGGATTGTACATCGAAATGTGAAATCCTCTGACATTGTTAAATTTTATATTCTTTCTGTGCAGGTTTATCAAGACGAATATGAAGATTTATTGATATATTTTGTGTAAATTTAATAAAGGCTGAGTTTCAACCTCATTTTAAAAACACATTTTACATTTTTTGACGTTCCTAAAGAAATTTGTTAACAATGACGACGACATCCTTGCAATAGTACACTTCATTAATAAGATAATGATGATGATATTCTAACAACATTACGTTTCATTAAGTTTCATTAATAAGATAATGATGATGATATTCTAACAACATCAGGTTTCATTAAGTTTCATTAATAAGATAATGATGATGATATTCTAACAACATTACGTTTCATTAAGTTTCATTAATAAGATAATGGTGATGATATTCTAACAGCATTGCGTTTCACTAAGTTTCATTAATAAGATAACGGTGATGATATTCTAACAACATTGCGTTTCATTAATAAGATAATGATGATGATATTCTAACAACATTACGTTTCATTAAGTTTCATTAATAAGATAATGATGATGATATTCTAACAACATTACGTTTCATTAAGTTTCATTAATAAGATAATGATGATGATATTCTAACAACATTACGTTTCATTAAGTTTCATTAATAAGATAATGATGATGATATTCTGACAACATTACGTTTTATTAATAAGACACTGGTATTGATATTCTGATAAGAATATGCTTCATTAATAAGATAATCATGACGATATTCTACAACACTAATGAATCGTAGTGTTGACAAAATATCTTGCCACAATTGTCTTACTAATGAAGCGTAGTGTTGACAAAATATCTTGCCACAACTGTCTTACCAATGAAGCTCAATGTTGTAGAATATCGTCATGATTATCTTACTAATGAATCGTAGTGTTGACAAAATATCTTGCCACAATTGTCTTACTAATGAAGCGTAGTGTTGACAAAATATCTTGTCACAACTGTCTTACCAATGAAGCTCAATGTTGTAGAATATCGTCATGATTATCTTACTAATGAATCGTAGTGTTGACAAAATATC